AAAAATATCACTTAATTTTTTATATCATTAAAAGATATTTTTTTATTAGTGATGTGGGACCCATTTGAATAAATTTGGTGCCATGTCAACCAAAGGCAAATTTCTTTATTAATGATGTGGGACCCATTTGAATAGATTTGGCGCATAGTAACATGACATGTCAAAATATTTGTCCATGTCATCACTTTTCTCAATTTTGCTCTCCACATCATCAAAAAAAATATAAAAAATGCCACATAAGCAAAGTTAACGGCTCAAATTAACAGAAGAACTAACGGAGTGCACTTCTTATAGTTGAGGGATCAAAAAAGTGTGAAAAATTGTTGAGGGATCAAAAATGTGCATTTCTTAAAGTTGAGGGACCAAATTTATCATTTAACCAATTCCTTATTGTGACTGTTTATGCCCTTGATTCAATAATTTTTTTCAAGTTTTGGATTAAATCATAAATATTTAGAGACATATATTGCTGTTCATATCTACCAAGCTCAGAAAAAGGCTAAAACAGTGTAACCTACTAAGAAAAAATTAAGCTTCAGAAATGTTAATAGATTAACAGCTGTTAGACAAGGAGATTAATAAACCCAAAAATCTACTAAAGATAAATGCATTCAGTTTAACTTCTTTTCTTGACTAAGATGAATTAATATAAAAGATGTCCAAGATGCCAGAAAAAAGTTACATTTCCAGGAGTTTGCAGCTGTAAAAAAGGCATTTTTGTTAAAATATAGAACACTGCAAGACTTTGAAGTATTCTAAGTCTTGTGCCTCTGTTATTCTATGGTGCAGGTGGAACTTGAGAGACAGAGGTTGTTAATTATCATTTTTAATATAAGGCATGATGTAACAGAATTCAATCCATGAGACTTATTCATAGCACGTGCATTGTTAATGTTAATTTTTTTAACATAAAATACAAGGCAACATGAAAGTGTAGACAATATAACTATAATCATTTAAACATAGTACACAAAATCAGGAAAAATTGGGGGAAAACCCGCATACATGGTAGTTCAAACCCACAACCCGCATACACTGCAAGACTTCGAAGTATTCTAAGTCTTGTGCCTCTGGTATTCTATGGTGCAGGTGGAACTTGAGAGACAGAGGTTGTTAATTATCATTTTTAATATAAGGCATGATGCAACAGAATTCAATCCATTAGACTTATTCATAGCACGTACTTTGTTAATGTTATTTTTTCAACATAAAATACAAGGCAACATGAAAGTGTAGACAATATAACTATAATCATTTAAACGTGGTACACAAAATCAGGAAAAATTGGGGGAAAACCCGCATACATGGTAGTTCAAACCCACAACCCGCCAAGCTTTGTTAAGGTTAATTAAATTGTTTGCATCACATATAGGCTGCGGTGATTAATTTAGTAGAATTAGGTAATGAAGAAAGATGGAACAATAGAATTATTCTTTTTGATGCTAAGTTCATTGGAATCATATAAAATTAATGTCGTAATGGCCTACGTACCGATTCTCGAACCACTCGTGGTCTTTTAGGTATCCTAAATTTAGTTTCTATTTTCTTACTTCCAGGCTTAGACTTTGGCCTTACCAAAATTATTTTCAAGACTTGGTTGTCTCTGAGTCTCTCAGAGGAAGCTTTGTACCATGTTTTACCAATTCTATTGATAAGTGTTGGTGGATATTCATTATTTCCCACTAGCTATTCTGTCTTTAAAATATTAAGACTTTAATCCAGTGGGAAACCAGAACCAGAGAATCGACACTAAATTCAAAGGATTTTAGCTAAAACAAATACTTTAAAGAAGGTATACCGTGGGTAGATTAACCCGATTGATAAGCATACATATAATCCCTTGGAAAATTCAAACTATATCATCATCTTCGTGGAAATGTGCATGATATTCTAGCAGAGTTCGTTCAGGATTCTAGATAATGATCTGCTTTTGTCAATTTCCTTAATTATAATCGACAAAAGCAGGTATTGACTGCTAGGAACCTGTGGGGTCACGTGGATTCACCAAATGATAATGATATGTAAGACAATTAGTTTATATAATTTTTTATATAGTTTTCACATATTATTAAATAAATCTATATATATATAAAATGCTACCCTATGCATTAAATAGGATAGCATTTTATATTTACACCCCCCCAACATTAGCCCACCCCATTCCCATTGGTATTTATAATCAAGACAGTGAAATTAAATCTATGAAAACAAATAATTATATTGTAATGCTTAAAATTTATAA